GTTTTGCTTCAGTAGTCAGTTGTATCACTAACATCAACTGTGTTTGTGGCCTTTGTTTGATGCTAGCTAGGGTCTGTTTCTTTGTCTATGCCTTCATCCTGACACAGGGTGCTTCCTCCCAGGGCAGGAGCCATGTAGAGCTTCATCTGGAAGCCGGGGGTGCATTCACTAGAAAGTGCTTCTAACTTAGTGGGATTCCAACCCCCTTGATGGCAGCAGCTGAAATAACCGCTCAGCTCTTACAGCCTTCATTTGTAGCTTCACCCCTGGACTTTGGAGGTTCATACTCAACTCAGGGGAAGCTAAAATTTCCAGGGAAGTTAATACATGCTTTTTATCTCCCTCCACAACCCATAGCACACTTTGTTCCAAAATGTCTTCCGATTTACGAAAGTGTGCTCTCGAGTTCCTCAGACTCCAAGACTGAGGGTTCTGCTTGGTTTCTTTCCTCCCTGCACAGAATGCACAGCTCCAAGGAGAAAAACCATTGAAATATGAATCTATAGTGATTTTTCTCTTTTCAATAATTTTGCTTCTGCTGACTTCTGGTTTCTCCTCAGTGTCGTCACATTTTTTTTCTCCCTTTTGTAGATAATTCCTAATTCTTTATCTGTAGCTTTATCTGATTCAGTCTATTCTGTACTACAGAGACTGAAATGCACCCTTATTGACCATGTAACTTGAATGAGAAATAAGTCTTTATTTCCTTTACTATTGAGATTTTTCTTTTTTAACCACAAGATTATTTCTGTGATTGCATATTCAAGTATATAGCTACTAACTTGCATTAATGGTCATATCTGAGAACTTTAAAGCAGAGTATTAATCATATCACCTACTTCTGTTCTCCTGCCTAGCATATAATCTCCAGATTAAGGGTCCAAAACACAACCTTGACTTTGACATTCTGTAAGCAAGAATCTGCACTGATGATTTATAGCTGATGGATAAAATGAGTTCCTGAGCTTGTCACTCAAAACCTCTACTCTCTAGTGCCCCGTGTTCCTGTGGTCTGCCCTGTGGAAGCATCACAGTGGAAAGTCCTTTTCCCCTCAATCCAGCACGTCACTTACTTTAGATTAACTATTTTAACACTAGACATGCACAATGCTTTTTAAAGGGCACAACTCAAAGTTGTTTTAAAGTCTTCTAGGTGCATCTGCTTATTTTTATTTATTAAGTTTTTTTTTTAATTTGGATTGTTTCTAGTATAGATTCAGAAATAGGCGACATATTACATATTTATGTCGATGCCCTTGAAATCATTGATGTTACCGCAACTAAATAAGTGACAGGGTTGTCTGACATCCCTGCAGCCACCCTCCCGATGCTCCCAACCTGTGCAGGGTGAACTAGTGGCTACAGCCACACAGTTGTTGGTACCAGGTGCGCTGTTCAAATATTGCTCCTGGAAGCAAATTATTCTGCAACTCTTAAAGTGACATGAAAATTTTTTTTAAAGATTTATTTATTTATTCATACAGAACTGGAGTACAAAAGTCAAAGTTGCAGGCGTGGTGAGAAGTTTCACCAGAGACAGAGTGCGGAGCAGATCAGGCCCACTGAAGAAGTACACTGCTGAGGGGAGCAGCGGGCGGGTCAGGAGAGGTCTGCTGCACCATGTGGTCACCTCCGGGGCAGGCAGGGAGCGAGCTCATGCAGAAGTGGCTTTAGCTTTTTAATGCTGTGCTTTAACCCGCTGCACCATCAGGGAGGGCCGACATGAAATTTTGAAATGTGTCCATTTCAAAAAAGATATCTACGTAGAAAAACCCCAGCTTTTGTAGTCTCTCTTCTTAAACTCCCAACGAAGAAAATAGTGTAGTGCATGTCAATTATCTAAGAAACTCTGTCATGTTTTTTTTGTAGATTCACAGAAGTGGAAAGAACACTCCTGCACTTCAGTGTTTTGTGACTTTGCACACATAGTAGGCTTCCATAAATAGTCATTGAATGGAAACCAATTAAAGTTCCACTTAGTCCTCTTTGTGCTTTAAAATGTACTCAACCATGGAAATTTATAAGCAGAATAGATGGCTTTCTACTGACCATTGCAACAAGCATAGGATGCCGGTTGCCAGTGAAAATGCAGGTGCTAGAGTAGTGTGTGCCTGGTTCAACAAATGTTCTTTGCTTATTTTCTCTGAAGAGCCCTCTCAGCATCCTGTTGGATCAGCAAATGAATACTTAGAAAAGTCTCTGGCCCTCAGGCACAGTGACAGCCTGGTTTGGAGGGACAGTTTCCCTCCAGCCTGCTGGAGCAGTCCCTGCCTGTTCTGGCAGGGGTGTCTGCTTGCACACAATAGCAAGGCTAATCTCTCCTAAGTCCTGGGGGTGTTGTGAAGCTTCAGTAAGCTAGTGCTCTGTGCAGTGCTGGAGAGGCCCAGGGTGCCTTGAGGTGGGTGCACAGTGTGAATCCTATACAGTGTTATAAGCCAGTGCGACCCATAACCCAGTTTCAGAAAATAAAACGGCCTTTCTGGTGACCAAGGGGTTTAGTCTCAGCACTATCACCACTACTGCCTGAGTTGGGTCCCCCCCCAGGGAGTGACCCACATGGCGCAACACACCTCTCCTATCACACCTGCTGCTCCCCTCAGCAGCGTAGTTCAGTGAATCCACTTTTTCTGCTACCTGCTCTGTTTCTAGTGAAGCCTCTCACCCCCCATGCTTCTGTCTTGCACCCCAGTTTTTCTACACAAAATAAAAAATACTTAAAAAAATAAAAACGTTGTAATCTGACATTAAAGAGGAAAGTTAGTGCCCTAACAGGACCTTACAATTGTATTCTGAAAGGTGCAATGCCTTTGAGACCTTGCCTGAGGTGTTGGGCAAGAGCAGATGGCGTCCTGGTCATCATGTCCACTCTGCACTGTGCTACCAATAGCCTTGTGTGACGGGGTCACCTGGTCACCCGGCACCTTCAACTTGTTGAAAAGCCACTAGATTATTCTGATTGTAGGTTCTTTCTCTTCACTTTGATGGATTTCCCTCAGCTATGGGAGTTGTTTACTGCTATGATTATTACTAAGATTTACCATAATGTTGCTGAGAATGTGCTGTCGATTAAATTATTTTAATGACATTAAGTGATGCATCTTATTTTTATTGCCTATTTTCTGTAATTTACTTAGTAAGTCCCAGCGCATGGCAGGGGTTGGTGTCAAGCCTGTCCCCAACTTTTCAGAAACCATGGAGGCCCCTGTCCTCTGTCTGCACGTCGCCGTGTCCCGTGGCTCAGGTCGGGACAGTCTCTGCGCTTTTTCCCCGTGGGTGTCTTCCACCTGGTGGACTCGCGGCCAGCTCCCTCCCTAACTGCAGCCTGACGGCTGACTTCTGGTGTTCATCGCGAGACTAACATGACCGCAGCCGAGCTGGACAACCCCCCCCCCCCCCATCAATCACAAGCGGCTCCTCTCCTCTTTCTTTCTTTTTTTTTTTTTTTAGATTTATTTATTTATGCACACAGAACTGGGATACAAACCAGAGGTGTGAGGGTGGTGAGCGGCTTCACAGAGACAGAGTGGGGAGCAGAACAGGCAGATCAACGGAGTACACTGCTGAGGGGAGCAGCGGGCGGGTCAGGAGAGGTCTGCCACGCCATGTGGTCACCTCTGGGGGGGGCGGGGATCGAACTCATGGGGAAGGGGCTGTAGCTTCTTAGTGCTGTGCTGTAACCCACTGCGCCACCATGGAGGGCCCTCTTTCCTCCTTTTAATTCATGGTGATTCCATTTTTCTCAGCCCATGAATCTTCGTGCCTCTTTCATGCCTGCTTTCTCCCATCCTGCTCCTCGGGTCTGTCACTGCCGCCAGCCGACCACCCACCTGTGTCTCACCTGATCAGTGCCCACCTCCAGCGCCACTGTGCCAGCTCCTGTCCTCCGCCTTTGCAGTCAGATGCAAAGGCAAATGCCGATCCTCTCGGGACTGGTCTCTGCCCCCAGCCTGCTGGGCGGCTCGCGGCTCCCCATCGTCTGAGTAAAATTCTTGGGTGTTGAGCCCTGGGCCCCGCGTTGCCTACCTCAGTTAGAATGTTGCTTCATCTCCACAGCTTTCACTCGTTCTTTCTGCTCTTCACACTCGGCTCTTCTCAAAACATAGCCTCCTTTGCCTTTTCCTCTGCCCAGTTTCCTCCTCCCTGTCGTGTTCACGTGACACCTTCATTTCCATCAAACCTTTGTTTAAAAATCGCCCCATGAGGCCTCCCCTATGTGCTTTGTTCTAAAAGACCTGCATCCTCCCGCACCTTCGTCACGCTACCTCCCTGCTTTTCCTTTCGCTCCCTAGCACTGATTACTGACAGACATTTGCACAGTTTACCTAATTACTTTGTCGTCTGTCTCCCCCCCAACCAGTGGAAGCCAGCAGGGACATGTGCCTTCTCCATGGCCCTCTCCTCGCTGTTTCCGGTAACGCCTGCCGTTATGGCTAGTGGGAGCTCCGTAATACTTTCCAAATAAATAACGCGAGAGCTAGGCCATCACTTTGTGTCTTGCCCCATTATAAGCACCTACTGTGCCCCCATCTGGACTTTTTTAGTTCCAGTTAGTTCTGCAGAGTGAAATAAACATTTCCAGTTGTATGACTGAAGTGTCTCCCCATGAGATCACATGTATGAGAGGTGGACAGGTTACCCTCCACAACAGTTGCCTTCGGGCCATTGCTGAGGTCGCTGCTGTTGGGGTGTCAGGAGGAAATCTGCATCTACCTCCTGATCTGGGATCATGAAGCTGTCACACTCCGTCGTTGGGGAGGGTGCTTTCCTTACATGATAACCTGGTGGCTTTAGACAGTGTCAGTCTTGTAATCTGTCATCAAAAATATCAGCTGTGTTGAGATGTTTTGTGTCTAGTTTATCTGCAAATTATGTTTTCCTTTTACTTTTGTGTACATAAGATTTCCCGGCAGCATAGAAGAAAGTTTCATGTTCTGATTATATACTTTAGTACTTTGTATTAGCATAATAGTCTAAAAATTGCTTTTCCTTACTTTATTCAGGGCAACACAACTATCTATGTGCTGGAAGAAATGATTGCATCATTGATAAAATTCGACGGAAGAATTGTCCTGCCTGCAGACTTCAGAAATGTCTTCAAGCTGGAATGAATTTAGGAGGTAAGTTCTGTTTTTAGCTCAATAAAGATTAATGTTTAATATAACAACCACTAGACTGTGTGCTACCAAAATGAAGATGAAGTTAACATGGAACAAAGATTTCTAAAAATCTTAGGCATTCTGTTTTCATGCTAAAACATGGTAGGAGAAAAATATCCTTTGTAGGAGTTAAAAAGAAGCATGTGATGTGGCTGTGTTTTTAGCGAAGTTTTCAACCCTAAGTTTTCTAAGGTTTCCAGAACTGGACACATAACCAAAACTAAAACAAAAATGAATGACTTTTTCTATAAAACTGTAGCTAACCGTTTTTATTTCCATGTCTGTTTAGAAATAAGACGCATGTGTGATAACGTTAAGCAGAGAGGAATACATCCCGAACTCTAAGAGTAAAAATAACAAAGGAAAACTTATATTTAAGAAAACTTCTAAATGTTACAGAAGCTACCAAAAAAGAGGGTGAGGTGAATAGTTGAACCAAACAAAAGTATACAACATCCATGAATGGGAAGCTAAGCTAATTGATGAATATAACACAACCCTAAGAACAATACCAATTGATGATTCCATGATTCTAAAGAGCAGCCAGGAAAATTCTGCCTAAGTTAAATAATGATGGCACTTAGCTCTATCAAATGAAACATTTGCTATAGCTACAGTTATTTGAATTGTCTGTGTATTTAGTATTGATCGTCAGCTCAACAGAAATCAAGAAATAGATTCAAATAACAATGAGAATTTTGTAAATACTAAAAATTGGCATTTTAGATCAATGGGGAAGGGATAGAGCAGAAATTACTGTCACAACCAGGAAGCAATCTACAAAACAAGAAAGTTAAATCAAAACTCTGCCCATGCACCAGAGTAATTTCAATAATACAAGCTTAGAAATGTAACCATAGAAATAACTGAGGAAAACATGGATTGTTTTTATATTTTTCAAGTAATATGACATAATTCCAGACATAAATCCAGAAGCTGTGAAATAAAAACATTGAGAAGAATGCTACTTTCAAATCAAGTAAGTCATGTATTATATCAGAGACAAAAAAAAAATAAACAAACTAGGGGAAATAGTTGCAACTTATAGACAAAATGTTTGTTTATAAAATTGATAAATATAATTGTATAAGAAAAAGAAAGCAACTCATTAGAAAAATGAACATGAACAGAATATCCAGAGATTATATTCATAGATAAAAGAAATACAATTTGCTTTTGAAACACAAGAAAATATTCTCAATGTAGTAGTCATAGTAACAAAATGGCAAATTTAAGATTCTTCTTACAAATGGCAAAGTATTTTATTACATATTATTTTATGAATGGAGAAACAAAGTGAAGCTTATGGTGATATCATGCATTTTAGTGTTAACTGATACAACCCTCATGGAGGGTAATTAGGCTATTTCAACAAAATGCTAAAAGCACACATCCTTTCAGTCAACCATTCTACTTTTAGGATGTATCTAAGGTGTATTGCAATGTATGAAATGATATATGCATAAGGCATCCATTGTAGCATTGTTAAATATCAGGAATACATTAAAAATTCATCTGTTCAGGATCAATTAAATACTCACAGACATTGATAAAAATAAGGGGAAGTCTATATGGATTGAGCTCCAAAATGTTTAATGAAAACAAAAGTCAAGTTTCAAAAGAGTATGTTTATTCAAAGCTAAAAATCTATTTTCAAAAAGAACATAGAGATTTCGGGGGTGGCATTGAACAAGTCATTCCTGGTAGCCGGCCCCGTAGGAAGCCACGTGGCTAAGAGATAAGCATAGGAAGGATTGATTTGCACTGTACATTCCTCCGCGCCCATGAACTTTGTGTTGTGTTTAATAATGTGTAGGTCATACAGGTATTACTGATTTAAAGCAACTCAGGTAATTCCTACAAGAAATAAGCAGGAGATTTCAGCATGTGAGGCACTGCATTAGCTGGCTAATCAGGACAGGAGGTGAGCACCGCCCACCTCCTGAGAGCAGAGGGCTCTAAAAGCCCAGGAGAGTGAGCTGGGCCGCCTGAGGCCATGCCGGTGCCAGCCTGTCCAGAACGCCCTGAGCTCAGCCAAGAGGCTGCGCTGGGTAGGAGGCAGGCTCTGGAGCCAGACTGTCGGGCCCCTAGCGCCGCCATTTCCTGGCCTTGCAGCCTGAGGCAGGTGACCGCCTTTCCGTGCCTATTTCCCGGTCTTCAGCTGGCTTGCGCATCACTGACTTCCTGTGCAGGCTGCAGTGTGGGTCACACGAGGCGATACCCAGGGCACGGGCTGGCTCACTGCAGTGCCTGTGGCAGTTCTGCGCATGGTCGGAAAAGCATCGCACCATGTTTTGGAGCTGGTGACTCTCCAAGATGCCCCTGAGGCGATGGCACTAGATCTCTGGCCTCCTGGTGTTTCTAGGAAGCCACACTACACTTTGCTGGAATATCCAAGTCACCACAGAGGTGGCATAGAGGACACCTTCTAAAGCACCTGAGTGAGAGCCAGGAGAAATTAATAACTTCAAATCGAGATAGCACAAAATTACCATTAGATGCAAAGTGAACTCTCAGTCCATTTTGTAAAATCCCATCACCTGAATTGAATCACATCTACATACTCTGAAGATATATGTTTCAATATCTGTGTGTAAAACTTATGAAGGTTTTTTTTTTAAGATTGATTTGTTTATGCATGCAGAACTGGGGTACAGGCTAGAGGTGTGGTGGGTGAGAGGATTCACCAGAGACAGAGTGGGGAGCAGAACAGGCAGATCCATTGAAATACACTGCTGAGGGGAGCAGTGGGCAGGTTAGGAGAGGTCTGCTGCGCCATGTGGGTCAGCTCCCTGCCTGGGGATCGAACTCATACTGCAGTGGCTTTGGAGAGTTCATAATGCGGTGCTTTAACCCATTGCGCCACCAGGGAGGGCCTGGCTTTTAAAATATTACGGGATGTATTACAAATATTATGTTCTGTAAAACAGAATGACTACAGGCAACTGTAAAACAACAGTCTCAGGTCCCCCCTCACATTTCAGAGAGGTGTGTTAAGGATTCACCAAGTCCACACAGCCTCTTTAGCCCAGAGTTTGTCCTCCTCTGCTCCGCTGACCTTCGGAACCTGAAAGTTCCATGTCATAGAGGCCCGGCCTGTGCCTTGGCAGGTGGCTTATTGCCGCCGCTGGTCTCTGCCAGCTCGAGCTATCAGCAGCAACCCTCCCTCTCCAGCCTGCAACAACCAAAACTGCTTCCAGACCACATTAAGTAGACCCTGGGGAGCAGTGTGGCGACTAATTGTGCGGCCTTAGCGGTGAGAGATTTTCTGCTGGGATGTGCATTCCACCGGGGCTTTGCTATCTGTGCACTGCTCCGTCGCAGTGACTCGGTAAGTGTCCGTAGCCCGCTGCTCAGCAGTGCAGGAGTGATGGGTAGTTGCAAGGGCTTGAATCCACAGCTTTCTGCTGAGCCTCGCCGCGGGTCCTGCCTTGGAAGGCTCGTGGAACACGGCTGTGCGTGCTGTGCAGCTGTCCGTTTTAGCAGTGAGTTCGAGGAAGCACAGGGGTTTGAATAGCTGGCCCAAGAGGGGCAGAGACAGGACTCAGATTTCTACTCCCGCCACCAGTGCGCGTTCACCCGCCCTCTTCTGCTGTGGGCACTGACTCATGTTTGCAGATGAGTGCTTCCTAGCCCGGATTATCCTGGGGCATCCAGGGTATTTACTTGGGTCTGTGATGGTCTGTAAATGAGATTTGGCATAGCACAGGATACAAACTTTGCATAATTTGTTGTTGATGTCTATGTATGCAGAATAGGTTTTTACTGAAAGAGAAGGCTTACTTTAAATCCTTAGGTCGTTGACAGACGTGATGACAAAAAAAAAGGTAGAGTGGAAAGTAATATTTATAAATGTCATTTTTTTTAGGTTCAAGTTCTTATTTAACCATTTCTGGTCCATAACTACATAAATCCCTTTCACTGATTTTCCAGTTGTAGCAGAGGCTGTAGGACTTTTTCCTTGTGTGAATTACTTCAGAACCTCATTTTCTGTTTCCATTTGGGCAAAAAGAAATCAAGCTATTTTATCAAATTAAGAAAGGAGAGAATGTGACATTTGACCTTTTAATGTGAAAGTCTTTAAAAATATGAACTAAATGAAAGCTTTTTATACCCGCCTCAATCTCACCCAGTTTTCCTCACAAAACCAGTCTGTCCTGTCTTTTTTTTCTCCACCTGCTTCCACTGTAACTCTTAGGGCTAAGGTGGATAGTAGCACAGTAAGACGCTTGGAAGACATTTTTCTGTGCGTGAACTCTCATGACTTGGGGGAAAAACCATCCTACTTCCAGGCGACAGGAATCCCAAGTACTCTAGAGTCACTTTTTCCTGCCTGTTTGCAGGCTGCTGGGTGTGGAATCTGACCATGTCCCCAAACTAGCCTCTCCTTTAGAAGTAGAAGAGTAGGAGATTGGTATGTCTCAGAAATAAGGCTAGGAAATGCCCCTCTTACCTTTGCCTCTAGCTCCGCCTCCCTTCTGCCCCACAAGTCCTGTTCCTTGTCTTTCAAATCGTGCTGAGCTTAGGCTACATGCAAAACAAAATAGCAAAAGATGTGAGAATGTCAACAGGGAAATTGAAAGGAAAATAACAGCTTCTCTGGCCCCAGACTGAGCCTGCCACTCATGCTCCTGCCCTCATAGGTGGGTCTTTAAAACTCATGTTTGTGGAGACATGAGAAGCTCCTTGCTTCGCCTTCCCTGGAACTCATCACATCTCTGTGTGTGCCGAGATTCTCAGAAGTTGAGCTTTGCCAGTCCTTGAAAGTGTCCCCTGAAATCTGCAAAGCATAGCGTTAAACCCCAGTGGCCATCAGACCAAGAGTCAGTCCTTTGGAAAATCTGACACTTAACTGTGCTCCAACCTATCGTAGATGACAGGGCCTCTTAGAAGCCTTCTTCCCCTTCGCCTCCCATTTTATAGAAGAGGAAATTGGAATCCCAAAGCAAATCATTAGAGAT